ATGTAGTCTCACAGACTTGTACTGCTGCCTCACAGAATTGGATGCCTTGCTGACTTGACAATAATTCAAATAATCAACAAGAAACTTGAAATCCCATCAGATCACCATACTGGTTCAAGACACACACCATCAATATTTCCCTAACAGTGGGCCCATCATCAGCATGCCATTTTCTGGTCATACCAAACAACCCATGGAAAAATCTCTTACATTATTACTTTTGGTCGAAAAACAAAAGAAGTAAATGCTGTTGTGAAATTGATATGACCCCACAACAGCAAGAATGAAAGAAACAAAAGTTCCAGAAAGAGAAATGGTTGGATGGTAACCTTATCAAATCAGAACAATGAAAAAAGTAAAAGCTTAATTTGAATTCTGTAATGTTACTGTTACTGCTGTTGCCTGCTTTCTTGCTCTTTCTTTCATTCATATATGGCCTTGTATATGCAATTATTTAGTCCCCCACTCACATTACCCACTTCACAAAATAACTTTTGAATCCCAAGAAATGAATCCACTTTTTTTTTCTCTCTTGACTGACTGATTACTTCTGATTTTGTCACTTTATTCTTTTTCACTTTCTTATTTAAATTCACATATTACTCTCTGCTACACAAAAACAAAAACAAAAACAAAATGAGTGATCTTCACTCCATTGCTTATAGCAGCAGCCATAGCTCTTCTCTAGCTTGGGAATTGCAAAATCTTGGAGTTTTCAACGCAGACACATCTCAATGTAATTACAGTACTACTTTTCTCCTTTCTTCTTCTCCTCTCGTTTTCTGTACTGCATGATAATGATTTTCTTTTTTAATTACAATTTGATTTTTGTTAGTGATGATGGAGAACACCCCACCATTTTTTTCACCTCTTGAAGCTGATTATTCAACTGGGTATTTGCAAGATGCTTTGTTTGAATTCAGCTCTAAACGAAGAAGATTGCTTCTATTTCCTGAAGATGACACCAAAGGCTGCAACAATTCTATTGAGGTAATAACAAAAGAACTGATTTTAGATTATGATGCAGTACGGACACAGTGGTGTAGATTCTGAAAACTCAAATTTTGTTCAGCATTCTTATGAAAGTTATGATGCATTCAGCCAAATAAGCAAGTGCGATAACTTCAATCCAGGTGATGAATAAAACTTTCATTTTTTTTGCCACTTAACTTATGAATGAGATTATTTATGCATGTGTTTATCATTATCTGTATATATTTACAGGTATGAGCAGATCGGTGAGCATTATGAGTGAGGATGCATCACTTTTCACTGACATGAAAACATCGCAAGAGGCAATCTCAGCCTTTCAAATATATGATTCTTCATCACTCAACACTCAACCCACATCTGACAAACAATCCCTATATTCCATACAAGTACAACCCATATTTTCTTCCGGTGAGTTAGTTAGTTCGTCTCATCATTATTTTCATCTTTAGTCGATGTGGGATTTTTTACCCTAGTAATGCAAATCAATATCAGGTGCGGGTGGCGAAAAGAGGTCGAAGAAGAGAGTGATAGAAGAGGTTGTGTATCCGTTTGATTTCGTTAAACCGGGAGGATTCGAAGGGGATTTAACATTGAACGACATAAACGAGAGGATTCTGATGCCTCCGAGTAGGCCAGTACGACATCCGGTCGGGAATTTTGCTTGCAGGCCATTAGTGTCATCTGCCGATGGCCCAGGTTTATCTGGCAAGGCTGTGGTGGCACTCACCAGAATTCACACTCAAGGGAGAGGTACAATCACAATTATCCGGACTAAAGGTTAAGGATTAAAAATTACATATGTTTTGTCAGTAAAATAGATTTTGAATCAATGAATATAATATATAGTACTGTGTGAACGAAGGAAATTTATGTGACGGAGAACAAGTTTTCATTTGTTACAAACTACTTAATAAGACTATACAACGATCACATGATTGCCAAGGTAAATTGGAGAATATTGGATAGTAAAGTAGTGAGTACGAAATGTGTTAATATTTTGGAAATATGTACGAAATGAAAGGGTTTGTTCAGTTACAAGATTAATCGTAAATCATCGAAATATATAAATTACTAAACCAGAACATCGCCAATATGCTCGATCACTAGAAAGTGAAGGGACGTTGATGGTTGGTCAAAATTACGGAATGTTTAAGTCAATTGTACCGTTGTAGCGTGAAGATTAAGATTGAATGTGATCTGGTTTGTATAGTTATTATTATTTTTTTCTTTTTCTTTTTCTTTCCATGCTTGGCATGAATGTAATTGAAGGTTTTATTGGTCATGTAAGGCCATCTCCAATGCATGCACCAAAATTTGAAGTAAATTATGCATCATTTCGGTGCAAATTTTGCATAAAATTAAAAATCACATCCAATTCAAAATACCATGGCTTNGGAAAGTGGCTCCAGGGGTCTCGCCTAGCCCGTCGAAGCTCAAAGGTGAAACCCAAATTACATGCAAGAAGCCTGTAGGATTTGCCCAAGGGCACAGAGATGTGGCCAGCGGCCTCGACAATAAAAAATTGGAGCTCAAGTCCCCTATGTATTAAATATATGCATTCTAGACCCCAGTTCACTATTTCTGTACGGGGTTATCTTTTAGCTCCGTTTTCATACGCTTTTGGTCCCTCCAACTTTAAATCATCATTATTAGGTCTGCCACTTCCAATTGCCTCTGGATTGGTCCTTTTCTTCAAATTTGATGCCTCAAAGTGTTGGGAGTGTTCAAATTGGTCCCCAAACTTCTTCAAAAGTAAAATTTGGTTCCAAAACTTGTGAATACATCCAAATATAATTTTGATGCCTCCAATCAAGTCCTTGAACTTCCAGACAACCATGCAAATCCATCATTTTGTCCAATTTAAGCTCCAAAACTCTCCTTTATGGTCAATTCACCTTCAAGTGGGACTTTCATCTATTAAAGCAATGTATGCACTAAATTAAGTAAAAATTCACTCAAATAATCAAATATTCATCAAGTTTAAAAGTCTAGATAAACATGTAAAACACACTTATCAATGTCTCGCACTGTTCTTTCCGTGTCGTGCACCTCATTCGCTCGGCAGCTAAAATAAAACCCATCAAAATTATTTTTGGGTTATTATTTCAGACATTTGTAGTGTCAACAAGTCAATCTCCTGACAAACCTGTATATTTTTTTTTCTCTCTACGGTGTAGTTCCTCTACAAAAGATTCGAGAACGAGCCTTCTCAATGGTATGAAGGAGTGCATACAGGCTCTAATACCAATCTAATGCAGTCAGAAAGCGAGAGAGAAAATACAAAGACCAACATAGAAACTCTTCCAATTTTATGAATATCTCAAAGAAAAAAATTTAACAGGCAATGAACCCTATCAAGTACTTAATAAACCCCTGTTTGACAGCCTTTTTTTTTTTTTTAATTATGAGTTTTTGAATAGTAAATTTTGGGAGAATATATGATTAAAAAGTAAAAAGAAACTTACATAAATAATATTTTATTGTGAGAATGCATAGTAAAAATGAGTATGAAAAAGAAAAAGTTTTGAAAGAAGGATTACAAAACATGAGCTAAGTTTCTAGAGTCAAAAACTCATTACTCACGAGTCATTTCAGAAACAACCCTGCTACATGAACAGGTTCAGTGACAAAATTTAAAACAAAGGGATACGTGTCATTTTTTCATTGGACAGTTAGGCAAAAAAGAAAAAGGGAAAACCAAACCCTATTTTCCCCCTATTTGAGTAGATTTATTCTTTTGCAAAATATTATGTGCTTATTTGTGCCCC